AAATAAAATTATATTTTTGAACATCTCCAATTTAATGTATCGAAAAAAACCAACCCAAAATGTTTCCTCCTACTACTGAAATATCTTTTCGCCCATCGCCGCCACCCGAACCAGACCTTGAAATCTGTAGATTACGGCAAATTAAATCGAGAAAGGACGGAGTGGAGGAGGAGAGAAAGCATCTTGGAGACAGTCAGGAGATTCTGCAATTTACCTTAATTTTCCTGATTTTCTCCTAATCTTCTGACGATTTCCTTCCCTTCACCATTTTCTTTAATTTTGCTTTTCTTCTATTCTTTCTTGCAGGATTTGTTGTTTTTATCTTCATATTCTGCTCCTGCCACTCTGTCGGTGCGCTTCCTCATACTTCCAATTTTTTATTTTATTTTTATGTTTGTTTAAAGCTCAGTACTTTAATCACTTCTCTTCCCAATATCCTTTAAATTGCTTGGTTCTGATGTCTTATGTGTTTATTTACTTTGTTTGGATTTGGAGAAGTGTTGGGGGAAGGGACAACAAAATGGGTTAAAATTAGAATCAAAAGTAATTGCTCTAGGTAAAATGGAAATTGGTTTTTCATTTATGTTGCATGCCCATGTTTTAGTTGGAAGAATTTTTATTTGGGTTTTAAGTGAAATTGCTGGGATGATATTTGGTTGCTGTCTCCTTGTCCTAGGCTCTCTTTCTTCACTTAGAAGCAGCAGATTTGTCTAAGTAATTTATTTTCTTAGCAAATTAAATTCTTTTATTACATTTTTCTGTCATATATATACTCAATGTCGTAACGTGCCTGATTCAACTGTTTACTAATGAACTTGGGATGATTTTTCTCATTAAATTTAAGTTGCTTACCTGCTAGGCGTTTCTACGTGTGGAAAGTCATTGGATATTTGGTAAAGAGCATGTCAATCTTATTGATGAAAGGTTGGAAGAGCTGTTAAGCATATATAATATGCAAGCTCGATGCTAAGCAACTTGACAGGCATTCGTTTTTCTTTGGGCAGTTCTGCTTTTTTATATAGTCTATGTGGATTTTGGTTTCTAACTAGATATTAAAACTAAGGCCCCTGCTTCAAGTGAACTTGGTGATGTTGAGACCATATGTTGCTTTTTCCAGAATAGGTTTTTGGAGATGGATTTCTCCAATTAAAATTTATTAGGTATCCATGCAGTGGGAGCCAAATGCTTCACAGGGGAAATGAGCCAATTTTCTTTTCTTTTCTTTACTTTTTGTTCTTTCTTTTTCATTTCACCTTGATTATTAATGTAATATTGTGGTTTGAAATTTGTTCACAATTTCACTACATGAATCTCAGAAGGCTAGAAATCAAATAGCCCAACTAGAATGTTCAAGCCTTCCAAGTCCCATGTGGTGAATTTCTGTGTTGTTTGCAGGTAGTGAAACTAGAACATTTGAGTTTGGGAGGACATTTGGTCGGAACCAAAGGAAAGCTCCAGTCTACAATAGTTTGGCTGCCTGGGCTTATCAACAAGGGTGCAAAGTATAAATGCTGAACGTTCATTGTTTTCTTCTTGCATTGGTATGGTTGTAGTTTAATAAATCAGAAGGAAGGTGGGGAAATGCTAGTTAGACTAGAGTTATACCCTTTGTCATAGTGGGGAACACTGCAAGACATGTAAAAGGTTCCAAACACCCACTTTCCCCAACTCCCAATAATCTGTCCCTTTCCTTTTTTACTTTAAAGCGTAGACTAAAACTAAGTCGAATGCCTTTTGCCTGTGCAGCAGGACCAAATTGCTGAAGCATATTTTGTAAAGGTATTTCTATCAACATGTGTTCATTGTTTTTCTTATACCTGCAATTATTCTTTCACAACAACAAGCCATGCAAATGTTATAAAAGCATGTATACATTAGAGTCAGGTTGAGGAAGGTGGCTTTCCATGGTTCCCATGTTTAGTTGTTTATTAGCATTTTACAAGACTATTTTGCTCACTATTGCCCTTTTAAGCGTGTCCCATAAACATTTGTTTTGCTTTCTTTTTTTCCCCGGCTTTGTTAGTGGCTTGAAATCGATAGTTTCCTGTGAAACAGGTCGGCTATTGCACTCTGCTGAATGATGCATCATTGCCCCGTTGATAACAACCATGATCCGCATTCATTGACTTTATTGGGTACATAATAGCTACACACTATGCAATTAAATGTAATATCTATTGCGTTAATTCTGATGCCGTGTATTCTGCAACATTACCTAGCAGTTCCTATTAATACAGAATTTCAAATTATGGCCTCTCATCAATGCAGGGCACGGGACACTTTCTAAACTGTTTTTTTTTTCTTTTCTTTCTTTCTTTCTTTCTTCAAAACATGGAAATGAAAGTGCTCTCATGCTTGGAAATTGCAATTCTCCGTGATTGATTGCAGCACTCTGGAACTTCCCGAAGGGAACGCCTTTTCCTTGGGCTGCAAATTCAAATTGCTCCGAGCATAGGCTGTGTCAACAATTCCAGAGTCCCACCCTTACCTAATTCCCTACCTATCGATTCCTTTCTAATTCAAATGGGTTAATTTTACCCTATTTTGCATTGACTTGAACATGGGAAAATGCCGATTTTGTTGCTTGCATAAACTATTCTCCATTTGGGTATGGTAAAAAATTCTCAAATTAGAGAGGCATGAAAATGATTACACCATTGTACCAAAAAAAGAAAATGATTACGCCATAAATAAATAACCCTTCTGAAGTCATATCCTCATCTACAGGCAACAGAATCACCCGCCACTATTTTGCACTTGATCAAATATGTTAAAATCCCACATGGGGCAGGGAGACAATGAGCCTCAGATATTTTGCAAAACCTAAATTGAAAATTTTCGAAT